TTTGGCAATTTTACGGCTAATAGATAATATCTTTCCATTGAGGTAACCAGAAAAATTTTGCGGTTCAATTTTTTTTTCTTTTATCCTAACAGCTAATTGTTTTTGGCCGTTTAACTGAAGACGGTTAATAGTGAGTCCATGGGACATTTGGAAGACAAGTAAGATCGGAGGCCATCATCTACTTTTATCGGTTTGCTCACAAAAAGCGTTACTCACCCCCGCACTCTTCGTGCGATCCACGCGACTCACCAAAAGCATATCGGATTAGGGCTATTAAAATGCCTTGTTAAGATACAGCTGAAACCTGAAAAAGGACTAAAATTGATCAAGAACAGCTGAAAAGAAAAAAAAACTTGCTCACGTCATCCTTTGTTATGACCGCCTCATTTCCACTCTAATCGATTCGAAGTTCATCCTTGCCATAATTTGCTGTCTAATTCTAACAAATCTTTTTAAAAACGTACGAGAGAAACAATAAACTTTGCCGTTGTGATCGGCAAGTTGAGTAAGAGACGGTGCCCGTTTAGAGCGAATTAAAAAATGGATGATGTTACTCACTTCCCTTTTTCGCCTCTCTAAGATGTGTGTGCATGAATCGATTTGCACGAAACGGTGTTACTATTTGTGTGAGTTTTATCTGAACATCAGTGTTTATTTGGCATCCTAAATTAGCAGTAGCGTTTCCTGTCGTTACCTGTCATCACCTTTCCTTTAAAAGTAACCCATGCCCGGTTCGACAGCTTGTCTTTCACTATATCGTTATCACTTTTCCATATACCTTACAACCTAAACAATATTGTCTCGGTGACAATGGTTATTTCCGTCGTCTTTGTCTGAGCCATAAAGAGGGTTCATGAAGGCAAAATTCTTTAATTCATGAGATGGTCGAAAAGCAAGTCTAAAATTAAGCACCATTGCACAACTTCCTACTTATTAGTACTCTGATATAAGCTCATCGTTTCAACCAATCATGTCATATCAAGACAAATTTCTCTTCTAATTATTCATAAAAAAAAAATTAACTCAGTTCCATTTCAGAGACATATGTTATCTCGCTTGATAATTGTCGTCTCGTTGACGAACAAGTAACAAAACTTCTTTGTTCAGGTTGTGCTCGTCAATTTGTTCTTTATAGAAAAGCTGATTGGTGAAACTGGCGTACCTACTTGCAGTTGGGTGATTAATTCATATGGAAATATAATATGACCGATATGGCAGATATTTTATCATCAAAAATATTAAAGTGCCAATCTTAGTTCCACTTAAACTATTCAGTAAAGCTTGAAAACGATCTCAAGTTCACCACAGATCTTCATATCGTTTTCACATTGCATCTTTTCCCGATACCGGTGAAGGTATCTTTCGAGAAGAACTACACAGCCTAAAGGAACAAACTGTAA